TGTTCTTATATTGACAGTTTCAGCATTCCTCTGTGGGAAAGAAACTGTTAACACGATTAAACATCTCTTTCCTAGCAAAATGGAAAGTGGGCATATATGTGACAAACACAAGATTTATTCTATAGTTATGTGGGATTAAGGAGATCATCCATTTTTAAACAAATTAAAATTTAAGTCTCTTGGATAAGGGTAATAAAATAAAATAGACTGTTTTTTGAAAAGATGAGATAAGCAGATCACCCTACCCCCTTAGACTGTGTAAAAGCTGGGGAGCAGGGTCTATAGAGCAGGCAGCCCTTCATGCCTAGATCAAGAAACCCCAGCATCAGAAGGCCAAACAGCAGTGTCGATTGAGGATAAATTTTTTTCTGTGCTATCTTGTGACTCCTACATATCAGACTAACAGGCTCCCTAAGAAAAGCCCACTCCCTTAGTGACTTGGACAGCAAATTCTTCTCCAGTTAAGCCTCCAAATAAGAATACAGTCTACCTGATATCATGTTTATGGTGTATAAGTCTGAAAGCAGAGGACACAGGTACACACACTGTGTCTGGACTTCTGACCTATGGAAACTGTGAGATAATAAATATTTGTTGTTTTAAACCACTAAGTTTATGGAAATTTGTTATTCAGCAATGAAAAACAAATACACAGACTGATACAGAAAAGTTTAAATATCAAAACTAGTGAGAAGCAGCTAAATCAGTGCATGGACAGAAATTTATATCCTGGTATATGCTCTATGCTTTCAGGTACCTTAGTTCCTTTGAAAAGCCTTGTTCAAAGCACACAGCTAAGGGGGGAAAGCACTATGTAAAGGAAAGATTTGCTCATGTCACTTACACTTCAGCCAAAATTACTTGCAGATAATAAAATTGCTCAACTAGAAAAATATAAAGGAATCACTTTCAGTAATACCAAGAGCAATGAAATTGCTCTATTAGACTACAAAATTTAGAAGCAGGAATTTTTTAAGGCACTACTTATAATTGTATAGAAATATAACCTACCTAGGAATAAGAGTAACCAGAAATGTCTAAGGCGTATAGGAAAAGAGAGACAACAAATCCTGGAGGTGGGCGGGAAAACCTGGATGAGCAGAGGCTCACAATGTGTTGCAGAAAAATATAATGTATAAGTCAAGCCTATCCAAATGAACATACACCCTGAACGTGACTCTAGTTGTCTTATCACTAGTTCACCTGCTTGATGTGACACTATTGCAAACATTAAGAAAACTTCTAATCATTTTATATTATATAAATGTTTATAATTAGAAATTCAGTGATAAAATGGAAGGATATCTATGTTATACAGATAATTCCAAATGTGAAGAAAGTGAAAAAAAAAACTTTTTAAAAAAGACACACATGCTCTGTCTGCTGTGGCTCAATTGGATGGAGCATCCATCCTGTAATAGAAAGATTGTGGTTTCCATCCCCTGTCTGGGCATGTTGTAGTGGGGGTGGGAGTGGGGGCAACCCATTGATGCTTCTCTCTCACATCAATGTTTCTCTCTCTCTTCCTCTCTCTCTAGAGACAATGCAAAAATGTCCTCAGGTGTGCATAAAAAAATAAATAAAATAAAAGACATAAGCAATGCTTTCACTGATCAGAGCTCAGGGAAATAGAGATCATTACTGTGTACAATGAACATGAAAGGAAATATCCAAGACAACCGTGAAGGTAACCAGGAGGCAGAGAACAAAACACATGTTTTATGACACATACTAGACCATTTCTAACTACTCTGTTTGTTAGAAAGATAATGACTAAAGTATTTACATGAAAAGACAAAAGAGTTTTTAATTACTACCTTGAGGAAAGGATGCGCTGGATTCGGATTAGCTGGATGAAAGTATCCTATAGTATGTTTCCAACAGTCAACATATGAGTCTTGGCCCACTTACTGTCCAGGGTCCCTGGGTCTGCGATTACAGACATACACTGGCCACCCCCTAAAAAACAGAAAACAAAAACCTGACTCCGAGTTAAATCTTAAATCTGAACCAGGAAATCCCATTAGCTAACTGCCCCCCAAACCTCCAGGCATCTCCATATCCAAGCCCTACAGTAAATGATTCTGTAGAAGACACCACATTCACTGACACACACCTATCAACTCGGTTCTTAACCAATGAATCCCACAGCATCACCCACCTGAGACTTGAACCTTCATTAACATCTTCATACGCTTTGTAACAATGACCGCCAATGGGAGGATCAGGAAAGCCAAGACTCCCTAGTGACTGAACCAAAAGTCCCCCAAACAGCCCTTCTCTCGCCTCCACAGGCCCTCAGTCCTCTGCCCTGTGCGGACCTCCACCCACCTGCTGCTGAGCTTCTCAAGACTCTGGGCAGCTGCCAAAGTCTCAACTCACTTCCAAAACCTTTGGCACTCCGGTACACTACTGCCAAAGCCCCTACTTTAGCTGTTGCTAGGGTCGCTTCTGGTCGCCCCAGTTCTGGTTCCCGTTGTGGGCGTGGCTCTATGATGTATGTGACGCCCAACACCAGATACAAACCCAAGCGACCAACTTGGCGTCTGTGGTTTCACAGCAGCAGCAAGAAATTGAAATCACCTTTTCGACTATTCTTAATCACTTTGTGAATCAAGAACACTGTGCTGAATAAGTTTTCAGAGGCCAACGTGGAGCGGCTTGTATTCTACCTAAGATTTTGGACAAAACAAAGACGGCAGCGCTCGTGAGCCATTACTGAGAAGCGCCATGGGGGCGGACATCTTCCTGGGGCGGAGAACACCCCGGAACTAATGTCAGGAGGAGCCTTTGGAAAAATAAGGAACTTGGTGGAGCCAGACGTTAGAGGCAGGAATCAGACTGGGACAAAACACTGGAAAAGGCTTGAAGTCCTGGTGAGATTTGGGGTGAGGTCTGTGTAAATGGAGCCCACAGGCTTCACTGCAAAAGTGGTAACTTAAGATGATGACCCAGGATATGAAAGTGGGATTCCTCCCTCACTAGGACCCATAATGATTCTTTCATTGCCTGTTTGACAGGCATTTTTTTTTATTTTTTTTATTTTTTTTATTTTATTTTAATCATTGTTCAAATACAGTTTTCTCCTTTTTACTCCCAGTCCAGCCCCCCCACCACCACTTTTTTTTAACTACATCTACTCACAACAAACCTGAGGCAGATAGTATTTTACATGTACTGAGACATAGGTGAGTGACGAAACTTGCTGAAAAGCATGAAGTTTAGGATTCCAATCAAGTAGTGCAACTGTGGGACCCACTCCTAAGCACTATTCAAAATGAAGGGTGGACTTTATTGAAACCATAAGGATCACGGGTGTGGTAGCAGGCCTAGGTGTACACTAGGTTGCCTTCACCTAGAGTTGCAAGGCTTTGAAAGGTGAACTCAGCATGGGGAACTCAGTGCTCAGGGAAGACTGGCAGCCCCTGTTCTGAAGCCATGACTATTCAGTTTCACGAATGAGCCAATGTGAGCATAGCAAGGCCAGATGTGAAGTTTCACAAGACCAGATGTGGACATCTGGATGGTGGAGCACACATGACCGATGCTTTCCTGGAGACTGTCTTCCCTGAATCCATTCCATTACAAGGTTACTGTGAGGGTCATGATGGGGATATTAATCCAGATTAAAATTTCCATAATTTTGCCTCTTGTGTTCACTGACGTATCATGTGTGTAAAAGTGTACATTTGCACAGTAATGGTACTTTATTTCTAGGAGAAAATTACCAAGATTTCAACTGAATTCTGAGACAGCCACAGCATAGCCAATTTCCATTTCTTTTCCAAAGTAAGACTGTACTGGGGTGTTACAGCCTCATGGGATCAAGGCAAAGAACCCACTCTCAACAAAGTGGGATGGAATGAGGGAGATAGAATTCACAAGTCTCAATTCAGCAGGTCCCAGAAGAGCCATAATCCTTTTGATAGGTGATAGCCCTGTGTGCAAATCTACAGATTCATCTCCAAAACATTACACATAGATGTCACCTCCCATTTCTTATACTGCCCACCATTCTTAGAGACTAAGGTTCTCATTTTGTTTTTTGTTCCATTAATTTTAGGAATCATTTTCTTTTCCTGCTCTCCAGAACAGAACTGTTTTCATCAGTGACAAAATATATTCAGATTAGTCTCTTAGTTCATTCATTTATTTTCCAAGTCTATATGTAATTAGGGTTTTGGTTTTCTTAATGTGCTGAGAAATATAAAATATGGAATCCAGTACTCACCAATATTATTTTCTGATACAATGGAAATGATAGTGATTTTTCTCCTGGTTTCAGTTTTGCTCATTTTTCTATATCCACTCCTCACATAACTGTTGAGCATGTGAAATATGGTCAGTGCAAAGAGAGAACTGATTTTTTTACTCCTTGGTGTTCAATTATTTTAAACAATTAAAATTTAAATAAAGCCATGAAAAATTTTTTTTAAATGTACAATGTCCTCGTGGAGAAAACTAATGGGCTTAAAAAAAATAACTTAACATTTTGTGGTACTTAACTGCCACTAAAGAATCCCTCCCCAATCTCTCAAAATATGCTCCTTTAGCAGTAAATTGTCATATCCCCTTGAACCAATTATTCCATGTCCATTTCACCTAATAAAGACAATTACATCCTCTCACTAGATTAACTGGAGTATAGGGATCCCACTTAAAGATAACCCAACTACCTCAAAGCTCTCTCGTGGAGATCATGGGTTTTCTGTTTTGAGAATCCTCCCCACCTTTTTTGTTTGTTTCTTTTTTTCAGTTTTTTCAATTTCCTTATATTTTACTTATTTTTAGACAGGGGTAGGGAGGAGAGGGAGAGAAACATGGATTGAATGCTTCTTGTATGCCCCCAACTGGGGATCTGGCCTGCAACCCAGGCATGTGCCCTGACTGAGAATCAACCAGCAACCTTTCGGTTTACAGGCTGGCACTCAATCCACAGAACCACACAGCCAGGGTGAGTTTCTGTTTTGGTCACCAGTTTATCCTCAGCTCCTGGAACAGAACCAGATATAAGGGCAGGATGTGACAAAATCTTGATATAAATGAATGAATTGACTCAATCTGAACCTGTTATTTCATAAACCCGCTACATAATATAAACTGCTAAGAGTTTATGGTAGACATCCAAATTTTCAATTAATCCTTCACTTTGGTCTAGGGAAACTGAACATATATATGCTTCAGATCCCACCAACCCAGTATTACCTCCTTCCTGGTTTTTTATTCATAGCAACATCCCAGATACAAATAACTTTTATGTTTTAAAAAACTTCACTTACTGGCTTCACTTAGCTTCTTTCATTCCTTTAATAGACCAATTGACGTTATGTCTCTAGGTTAACATCAGATTATGCCTCTGTGTCAATGCACATATTGAATAGAATGAGGATATCATGACTTCCCAGTCTCAGCATTTCTACAACTTCTCTCAGGATATGCTTTTCAACCATAACCTGAGGTAGAAAGTTTTGATCAAATCCTTGCACACAGAATGTGTCTGAGTTTTTTCCTATTGGTTTCCTATGACATAATATAACACATAATTGACAACTGAAGGTGAATCCACACTCACTGCATTCATAAGGTTTCTATTCTGTGCAAATCCTCCTGAGGGTGCACAGCTGGCCACAGGCTGGCCCACTATGACTACATTTCTGTTTACTAGGAGCCCACTGACATTTAATGCTGTCTGAGGGGCCAGAGAAGGCACCTGCATAGCCACTGTATTAACAAGGTTTTTCTCCTGCAGGACCACACTAGTCTTTGATGACATTTGACTCTCTGAGAGAGGATGTACCACCTTGACTGAGTGAATTTTCTGATGTTCATTGAGGACTGACTTTGCTCTGAAGGTTTTCCCACATTCATTACAACCATAGGGTCTCTCTCCTGTATGAATTCTCTGATGTACAACAAGCTGTGGCTTCCCAATAAAGGCTTTCCCACAGTCACTGCATTCAAAGGGTTTCTCTCCAGTGTGAATTCTTTCATGTTTAATGAGACCTGTCTTCTGGGAACAGGATTTTCCACATTCACTACACACAAAGGGTGTCTTTCCTGTATGAAGTCTCTGGTGTGTTGTGAGAGATGTCTTTTGGCTGAAGCCTTTTCCACATTCATTACATATATAAGGTTTCTCACCTGTGTGAATCCGTAGATGTACCATGAGATTGCCCTTCTGGATAAAGCGCTTCCCACAGTCACTGCATACAAAAGGTTTCTCCCCTGTGTGTATTTTATAATGTATATTGAGCTGTGATTTCTTGACAAAGGCTTTGCCACACTCTCTGCATTCATGAGGTTTCTTTCCTGTATGTGATCTCCGGTGTTCCTTCAGTGTAACCTTTCTGGAGAAGGCTTTCCCACACAGACTACACTGATGGGGCTTCTCTCCTGTATGAAGATTCTGGTGATCATTAAGCAACCACTTCTTCAAGAAGGCTTTCCCACATTCACTGCATATATGTTGTTTCCTTATTTTCTGAAGTTCCTGATGTTTGATGAGTTGGGACTTGGTGCTGATGAGTTTTTGAATTTCCAGGAATTTCATTTCAGTCTGAAACTGTTTACTGTTAGCATGGAGAAAGGATTTCCCATTTCCAGAAAGTTCAGTGGGCCTCCTGATTTCATAGTTTCTGCTCTGGTTAGGTAAAGACAAATCTGATTTCATACTTTTTCCATGTGAGTCAAATGTACCATGATTTTGTCGTAACAGAAAATGACTTTTGCTCCAATGGACACAATTTTCAAATACGTTATTTTTGTGCCATTGTTCCAGGCTATTCTCCATGCTTTCACTTTCTGTGTTCTCCAGCAGATGGTCATCAAGTTTCCAGATTTCTAGGAAACAAAATGAATTCCTCCGTCATCTTCATTTGGAAGAAAGGTAATGAAAAAAATATACCTTGATGTGAAGTGTCTTTTTTAGTGATGACCTGATGATATGTGTGTAACTAAAACTTCATGTTTCATGTTCCTTGTACACTGGTACAGGTAATAAAAAGAAATGAACACAAATTTGGCTACATTCTAATTACTGACCTTGCCAAACATGCAGATTGTAAAATACAAGCAATTTACTGTAGCATCAGACCACAGATAGGAGGGCTACCTCATCTACATTGGTGAGGGACAGACTCAGTATTTCCACATTCTTCACTGATGACTACTGTGTACTAACATGGCTCCAAGTGGGGCACACAAGCACAATCCTTATGTTCACAGAGCCTCCATTGTCTTTGATGAAGCCACTTAAAAAAGCAAAGACACATGCAACAAACAGCTGCAAGTTGTGAACACAGATAGAAACGTGCATTAGAGATGGAGAAAAGTGAAAGAATCAGACTACATTTTTGAAGAAGCCAGAACTCACAGTGTATTCATTATTGTGGTGCACATGGCGTGACTAAGGTGATGACAAAGCAGAGAGCTCCTAGCACCTCTGACTTACAAACTACACCTCAGAGAGGTGTTCCTAACCCAAGGCAGTAACCACAGCCCCAGTTCTTCCTGTTCTATTAATGCTGATTTAATTTCATTACAGCAGTCTTTACTCTGTATGCAAATTATTTACTTTTTTATTTTGATTGATTTTATGTCTCCTCCTTTTAGATAGAATGAGAGCTCTTGGTCTCTTTGTATGCCATTTCTCACTGTTGTTATCCTCTGGCTTATACTAGGCTATCAAGAGTAATTTAGAAAAGGATAAATCAAGGAAGCAATCCCATGTACGGAACACACTGCAGAGTTTAAGAGAGAAAATGGAATCTCTGCATGAGCAAGATATACCACAGAAATCACTGAAGGATTTCATGTCATGTGCGAGGTAACAGTTAATTGGGACTTACTGTTGTCAGAATATGATGGGAGGAAAAACAAAACCTCTCAGGAGGTAAGTAATGTAGTAATATCTATGATAAACACCAAGCAAAATAAGAATTAGTAAATACACAAAAGAATTTGAGGTAGGAATGAGTTATGGTCTCGTATAGGCTGGAACTGAGAATGTATGTATTAAAATGAATCTCCTCATTGAAACACATTAACAGAAGACTCCTTTAAATAAGAGAGCTCTGTGGGCAAGAACAACTGAGGTGACACTGGATGGCCAGGATGGCAGATGCAGAAGAATGAAGGTGAACCTAAACTCACGGCTTTTCTGGGAGGTACAATAATTCTATGTCCTTGTAGTTATTGCAAGCTCAGGAGAATTGCCATCAAGATGAGTAAATTCTACACAATAGAGTCTGTAATAGATCACAGTGGGGAGATTGAATCTGGGGGGGCTTATGTAGGAAACAAAAGCAGCTCAGCTGATTAGAATGAACAAAAATTTGAAGGGCTAGTGGATCAGATAAGGAAATAGAAACAGAACAGCTGAAGAACCTCAGAGTGAAGAAAAAGTCAAGCTAAGAGAAAAAGAAAAGCAAAGGCACAGTGAAGACCAGTTTACTTTAGAGACACAGCATCCAAGAAGGGGTGGAAATTAGGAAGGGAAATCCACATTACCAGGGGCAGAAAGGAACAGTGGTCAGAAGGCAGTGAGCAGTTTTCTCTTTGGAGAAAGACAGTGCAATCTTATAGCAGAGGAGGTGGAAGACTATGAAGAAGAGAAAGATTTGAGAATCCTAAAAAACAAAACCATACAAACAAAATATCAAGGTGAAGATAAAATAAAGATAGCTCATACCCCATAAGAAATAAAGGAATCCATTTTTCTCTAAACTCCTAGAAAGATAAAGAGATCTCTAACTGAAAGAGATATGTCCAGAGGTACTGCTTACCTATCCACAAATGCCCTTCACTCTGAATGACTAGAATATGATTTCCACAGCCTGTCCTATGCTGGTTCTCTAACTCACCTGAATGGTTTCCACAGTGAATTTCACCTTCCTTTGTCCATGGTGCTTCTCCATGATCCAACTTGGAGAATACGTCTGGATTGCTGGATTCATAACCTGTGCATGGGGAATGGTAGAAGACTTAGACTAACTGAAAAAGACTTGGGTTCTGTGAAGACCACAGAATGTTACATTTCAGGACAAAACAATTTTCACACTTACAAATTAAATGTAAAGGCTTTTCCCTCAAGAGAAGGGAGAACATATTGATCTGAGGCCAGAGAAGGAACTAAGACTCATCTACCACTTCAGAAAACCACAGACATGCCCAAGCTTTCACAAGCTGGGGATGGAAAGGCCACTGACTGGAAACCATCTGAGTGACACCAGGGAGCTGTCCTCACCCACTGACACCAAGTTGCTGTAGTTCTCCAACATCACATCCCTGTACAGGTCCTTCTGATCAGAGTCCAGGAGCTGCCACTCCTCCAAGGTAAAGTCCACGGCCACATCGTGAAATGTCAGAAACTCCTGTAACAACATCGTGCTATTTAATGGTATGATGTAATTTAAATATGGCAGAACTGTTAGTTTTTCTTCTCATTTTCACTTTATAGGCTGTATCTATATCACAAGTGGGTTTTATTTTAAGATACAGTTGAATAATCACATGCCTAGTAAAATGCAGGGTGGGGCAAAGGTAGGTTTACAGTTCCTATAGAATACAATAAACAAAAAGACAAACAATATAAGAATCAACTGTTTCACATACTCACAACTGTAAGCCTACATCTGCCCTACCTCTTTTTTTAATTGTGCATTCAGTCATCCATGCATTCATATAATTAGAAGTTTCTGTCATGTAAAGAAGTTAATTGTTCTTGTTAACCTAGAAATACCACATTCATATATTAGAGAGAAAATACATATACAATAATATATAAATTTTTTTTATTAACTGAGGTGATTTTTAATAGGCCTCTAAAAATCCATTAATGAAGAAAGGATAAAACCAAGTACTTGAGCCTGGAGCATTTTCTTGTTCTATGTAAAAAAGCTGGCAAAGGGAGGCTCTGTCTTGGTGTGTTCTGGGTCTGCTCTAAATTTCTGTTCAGAAATCTGTCTTCAGTCAGGTGTGTCCCCAGACGTGCTTATACCCAACCCTGCAACTTCCTCCTGCTTCACATGATTCTATTGCTCCTGGGGAGTCAGGACCTGTGGATTGAGAAGAAAATTCAGTGGGTGGTACATTTCCTCTTGACACAGATGCTACAGTGCTCCTGGGCCTTGACTCTCACACAGTGTCCACAGTATAACTAGTATCCCTTCATATGGTGTCCCCAGAGTATTTATTCTTCTGGCCAATAAAGCCAGAAGAAATGCAGTGGAGGTATTCCTTTATTCTGTGGAGTTTTAGGTGGAGTGACTTGACTGTGAAAGAAGATGAGGGAAATAACAATGTAGGGGCAAAATAACTCTTCCTTCTCTTCTAGGTTCTTTGGCTGGTCTAATAATTAAATTGATGTAATACAGATTAACAGGGGAAAAACAAACAATCAACAAGATTAATAAGATGCATACTTCCTATATACATGGAAGTGACCCAAGAAAACGGAGTAACTGGCCAAAATGGCAGCCACCAACACAGGAAATACCACCTTCACCTAAAGTCAAAAGATGTTGGGGGTGGAGAGTCAGTTAGGGTAGGTTACTAAGAAGAGCACAGTAAACAAACTTAAGATTATAAGTCCAGATATAAGTCCTGCTTCCTCCACTGATACTTAAGGTGGGTTTGGTATATTGAAGGAGACACCCTCACATATGAGACTGCCATTACCAATATAAATGTCCTTTATGAGAGGTAATTTCTACTAGGTTTTCTCCCAGGACTGCAGTTTCTTCAAATTAACCAGCATAAAATAATCAACATCCCAAAGGGGCATATTTTAGGGTATCAAACTGCTCCCCTTTAGACTCAAGGAATTACGTATTTAAAAGAAAATTCTCTCCCAGGAACAACTAACCTTTATTCACATATATGACCAGGTAGAGCTGCACCATGTACCTATGCTCATTTCATAGTAATTCAATCACTATCGCTGGAAACTGGAACCACCACTGTTGACTAAGAATGACCGGGATTCACTAATACACTGGCATATGGGTCACCTTGCCAGAGGGATGGACAGTAAATAAAATGGAGATTCTGTTAGCAAAGAAAAACGTATGAATGCATTTCAGGCAAATAAGCAACAGTGTCAACTGTTACATATTGTATTAAGAGGTGAGTGCAGGGGTTGACAAACATTTTCTGAGACAGATTAACATTTTCCAATTTGTAGACCAAAGTGTCGATGTCACAACGACCCAATTCTGCCTTTGCAATGGGAAAGGTGCCACAGAGGACACACAACAAACGGTCGTTGGTGGATTTTTCCCTAAAGGATAAAAAACCCCAGAGGGATTGGAACTAATGCTCAGGGCCCTAATCCCTTCTGTCCCCAGCAACAGCCAAGTTCTTAAGTTAAACCAAACACCAGGGGTCCAGACGTCCAAAACTTCACTGTCCCAAGCCTCTCCGCACCAAAGACATTGATTTCTCTTTTTTTAGGTTAATCATTAGTCGGCACCAGGTACCCCAATGCGATGACCACCCACACCGCCGACTCCAAGATCAGTGAGCAAGGTAGTAAATCCCCAACCTGAATCTCACAATGCAACCGTCCTAAACGTCTTGTGCACCCCCTACAACTGAGGAGACCTGCAGAACCCCACACCCTGACAGTCGGGACAAGGACATTATCTCAACAAACTCTTAATCGGGGCACCGACCCCCAAGACACACCAACCACAGATTTTCGCGTCTAGTTCCCCTCAAATACTTCAATTTCCTTTCCCACCTGGTTCATCTTAACTAGCTCCACCCGGGCGCTCCTGCCCTCCTCCTCCTACCCCAATGATGACTCCACGCTCCACACTACACCTCGCCCACGTGTCACCCTGTGAGAAACAAAACTTCCACTGTGACAAAAACTTCTAGAGACAAAACCACACACTGACCTGAGTTTTTCGCCAGACCCACAAGATCACAAACGTTGTATTTCCGGGAACTGCTTCAACTTCTGCACCGTCCCGCTCAGTCTACGGCAGCCGAGGACGATCTAAGGCGTTTGAATAAACTCGGCAAACATTTCCGTATTTGTTAGGAATATGTCCGCGCCCATATCGCAGTGGTGCCCTGGGGGCCGCCACAGGGGCCGCCATGTTGGGACACCTGAGTGCCGTACAGAAGCAGAGCCTCGGCTATAGGACCTGTAGTCAGGGGTGGTGAAAAGGTGAGGAGCTATTGAAATTATCTCGTTTTCCGGCACTTGGAATGTTGCGAAAAATGGGTGCATTTCCAGCGCTTCACGATGCAAACACTGTGAGACTTAAGATGCTTTTAGCAGGCTGAGCAGAAAAGTAATAGAGCCACGGACTATATTCTTCACTTTATACACATTTAAAAAACATTGAACGACAATAAAAAACGTTAAGAAAAAAAAGTTTCTAAAAGGACAATTGGGAGTTCAGGTGTCAGTATAGCAGCAGAGGCGGCACTCCTAGGAAGGGGCAGGTAATACATCTGGTAGGCAGACACCCACAGCTCTGGCTGGAAAATAGTTGACCAGAAGAGGTCTTTAAGAACATAAAGATTTCTGGAAGTTGGTAGAGTGTGAGGCTGGCCATCACCAACTAGGAAAGAATGGCTAGGAAGAACCTCAGCTGGCATTGGGGGAGAGGACTCAGAAAAAGGCTACTAAAGTGAGGCCTGTAAAAGTCCAGAATCAATGGCAAGAGCACAATCTGTATCCATCCCATTGAAAGGTATATTATAAACGTGGTGATACAGGTGTAACCCAGGATTTTCGGCGAAGAATGTCAAAATGTGGTGTGTATCAGGCAGTTGTTCAAAAGGCATAGTCCTGGTTTAGCGGGTGTGGGATGTGACTGGGAAATCTGCATTCATTAAGTTTCTGAGGCAGGAAGCCTATCAATCATTAGAAACAGGCCTGTGCTGGATTTACCTGGTGATCATTTTGTAAATTATATACATGCCGAATCACTATGTTGTACACCTGGAACTACTATAATTCTGTGTGTCAACTATAATTGAAAATATTAAACAATTAGATATTTTAAAAAAGGAATGCAAACTGCCCTGGGATGTTCTCTCAGTGCAGTTATGATGGGTGACTCCCCTCAAAACTGTCTTGGTTCAAATTATATCCAGAAAAGCCTAGCAGGGCATGCAGGAATACCTCCCCCATTTCAACCTATACATTACTATAAATTACTATCCAGATGTTACAATAAATTACTATTGTAGTAATTATTATTATGAAGCTTTATTTTTCCTCATAGGATTTATCACATCCTGAGACTACATACCCATAATCCATCTCCTGTCTCCCTTACTAGATTGTAAGGTCCATAAATGCTGTTCCTTTGCCTGCTTTGCTCACTGATATAGCCACAGAAGGTGGTTTTATCAGTGTGCCTGGCACAGTGTTGTTCCTGGAAATACATCTGAAGGAATGAATTACCCAAAACCCAGCATTTGAGATTGATTTCTGAAATAACTACCACATGAAAAAACAAATTTCCATTTCTTTTCCTATGAGCAACACTCACTTTTTATAACTTGGGTAGGTGGGAAACTTTGGGACAGTTATGAGATTAAATGATACTACTCTGGATAGCGAGAATGCAAGAGCCCCACTCCCGAGAGACAGAGAAGGAAAAATTAAGACAAAGTACGTCTCAATTCAGCAGGCAACAATGAAGCTGGAATCTTTGAAATGGTGGCAGCTCTCAAGGGTGCAAAGTCCTGTTCACAGACCCACAGGCACTTCTCCATGACATCCCTTAAGGATCTCACCTCCTATCTCCTATATTCTTCATTCTTAGAGGCTAAGATTCTTGTCATCCCTTTTAGTCTATTTATTCTGAAAATCTTTATTCTGCTCTGCTCAGTTTATATTCAGTTAAAGTCTCTAACCATAAATAATTTGGGAAAAGACAACTATTCTTTACAACTGCCTTCTAATGGCTCATTCTTTTCAGTGACAAAATGCTCTGATTAAGTCATTTTAGCTGATTCATTCACTTTGCAAATCAGTATGTATTTGTTTTTATTTTTCTGTGCTGGGAAATACAAAATCATGTTAACCACTGCTTTCCAGTATAACTTTATGGGATGATGGAATTATGATAGATTTCTCTGAGTAGCCATATACTTAGCTATAATGTTTTGATCACTGTGGTGTCCAGTGAGGTGGCCACTAGTCACATATGGCTACTGGACACTTGAAATGTGATTTAGTGTACCTGGCAACTGAGTTTTTATTTACTTTTTAAAAATGTGAAATCTGCCCTGGCTGGTGTAGCTCAGTGGATTGAGCACGGGCTGCGAACCAAACTGTCGCAGGTTCGATTCCCAGTCAGGGCACATGCCTGGGTTGCAGGCCATGGCCCCTAGCAACCACACATTGATGTTTCTCTCTCTCTCTCTTTCTCCCTCCCTTCCCTCTCTAAAAAATAAATAAATAAAATCTTTAAAAAATGTGAAATCTAAAGAGCATAAAAGTGACCAAGGAATTTTTCAACTATTTGGAGATAATACATAGGCATTAAAATAATAACTTACTGAGGTGCTGAAATCTATTAGGAGTCCCTTGCCCTCCTTCCAAATAACAAGTCCCTTGAACAGGAAATGATCATAAACCTTTGAACCAATTACTCCATATTCGCTATGCAGTATTTCATGTCCCCCTAAAATTCACTCATCAAAGCCTAAACCCAAATGTGATGGAACTAAGAAGTGGACATTTCAGAGGTGATTTATGCCCTGAAACAGGACACGCAGCTTCTAGAGGTGTAAGAAATAAGTTTCTGCTTTTATAAACCACCCAGGCCATGGTATATTCTTAAGACAACCAGAATGAACTAAAAATATGTCCATTTCATGAGTGTAGATATTGATATCCTCTTACTAGATTCACTGGTGTGTATAGGTGCCACTTAAGAGATAAGATAACCCAACTACCTCAGTGCTCTCCCAGGACACCATGCCCACCTTCTGTTTGATCAACACTGTATCCTCACTTTTTTTTTTTTAACAAAACCAGGTTCAAGAGAAATATTTGAAAACCACTCACTATAAATGAAGGGACTCAATCTAAAGCTGCTGTTTCATAAGTCCCTCAACATAATATATAAACTTCTAGAGTTTACATCCCCATTTTCCATTACTTCATCCTGGAGGGGAAAACTGAATTGATAAATACAAAAACACATCACACCAAAGAAGTATTAACCCTTTAGTGGTTTTTACTCATATCAACATTCCAGATATCAATTCTGTTTATATTTTAAAAATTCAATTATTGCTTCCACATAGCTTCATTCATTCCTTTAACTGACACAACAGGCCAACTGATGTATGTGTCTGGGTTAACAGCCAATTATGCCTCTGTGTCAATGCATAGAGGCATAATGACTTCCCATTCTCAGCATTTATACAATTTCTCTCAGGATATACTTTTCAACCATAACCTGAGGTAGAAAGTTTTGATCAAATCTTTACACACAGAATGTCTGAGTATATTCCTATTGGTTTCCTGTGACATAAAATAACATGTAATTGATGACTGAAGGTGAGTCCTTACTCACTGCATTCATAAGGTTTCTATCCTGTGCAAATCCTCCTGAGGGCGCACGTCTGGCCACAGGCTGGCCCACTATGACTACATTTCTGTTTGCTAGGAGCCCACTGACATTTAATGCTGTCTGAGGGGCCACAGAAGGCACCTGCATAGCCACTGTATTAACAAAGTTTTTCTCTTGCAGGACCACACTGGTCAGTGATGAGCTGAGACTTTCTGTGAGAGGATTGTCCACCTTGACTGAATCACTACATTTCTCTCTTGTGTGTATTCTTTTATGTTTCACAAGGCACGACATGTAGGCAAAAGCTTTCCCACACTCGTTGCAGGAATAGGGTCTCTCTCCTGTATGAGTTCTTTGATGGACAATGAGCTTCTGCTTAGTGGTGAAGGCTTTTCCACAGTCACTGCATTCAAAGGGTTTCTCTCCAGTGTGAATTCTTTGATGTTTAATGAGACCTGACTTCTGGGAGCAGGATTTTCCACATTCACTGCACACAAAGGGTGTCTTTCCTGTGTGAAATCTCTGATGTGCTATGAGGCATGTCTTCTGAATGAAGCCTTTGCCACATTCATTGCATATATAAGGTTTCTCGCCTGTGTGAATTCGCCGATGTACAATGAGATTGCCCTTCTGGATGAAGCCTTTCCCACAATCACTGCATATGAAGGGTTTCTCTCCTGTGTGTGTTTTTTGGTGTATATTCAGCCGTGATTTCTTGAGAAAGGCTTTACCACATTCAGAGCATTTATAAGGTTTCTCTCCTGTGTGTGTTCTCTGGTGTTCAGTGAGCATGAATTTTCTAGAGAAGGCTTTCCCACACAGACTACACTGATGGGGCTTCTCACCTGTATGAACGATCTGATGATCAGTGAGCCAAGACTTCTTCACGAAGGATTTTCCACATTCACCACATACATGTGGCTTCTCTCTTTTCTGAGGTTTCTGATGTTTGATGAGTTGGGACTTAGTGCTGATGAGTTTTTGATTTGGGGGGAATTTCATTTCAGCCTGAAAATGTTCACTTTTAGCATGGAGAAAGGATTTCCCATCTCCAGAAAGCTCAGTGGGAGTCTTAATTTCACGGCTTCTAGTCTGGTTAAGTAAAGATAGATTTGATTTCATACTTTCTCCATGTGAGATAAACATCCACTTTTTATGTAACAGAGAACAGGTTCTGCTCTGATGGACAGTATTTTCAAATGTATTACATCTGTGCCATTGTTCTAGGGTATTGTCCATGCTTTCATTTTGTAAGTGCTCTGGCAGATGATCATCAAGTTTCCAGATTTCTAGGAAAGAAAAGCACAATTAACTCATTCAGTATGTTGAACTGGGAGAAAAGTTTAAAAACACAAACCAAACAAAACCATGATATGTTGTTTTTGTGATGACTTTGGGATGTAAGAGTAAACAAAACTCCATGTTCAATGTTCCTTGAATACTGGAAAACACAATAGCAAAAAGAAACTAAAGGTAAGACTTGAGTGTAAAACGGGTTACATAATTCACAATACAGCAAGCAAAACACAGATCTGCCTGCTTTGTAAGGCCTTGTCAAACTGTAAAATATAAGCAATTTATGGTATCAGCAGACATAGAGAGAAGAGCTACCTCATCCATACTGGTGAGAGACAGACTCAAGACTCACTCTTTCCACATCCCTGTGACTACTGTATACCAACATGACCCTAGGTTGGGGATACACAAACATAGTCCTCATGTTTATGGAGCCTATACTGCACTTTGCTAAAGTCACTTAAGGGGCAAAGACACATGCAAGAAACAGCTGCAGGTTGTGAACACAGGTGGAAAAGCAAAGTGGTGATGTAGAGAGGTAAAAGAAATCAGGCTACATTTGGAAAGAAGCCAAGATTCACTGTGGATTCATTACTGCGGTGGGCATGGCAGGAGTAAAATGGTGACAGAGCAGAGAGCTCCTACCACCTCTAACAATCTCCAAAATAGAGCCCTTAATTTCCCAATCAAAAGTCCTCCACATGTCATCTTCATCACTGTAAATGAAAAGTATACTCTTTTCTTTAACCAGAAGAAAACTTCTCAGCATCACCCTTCATCTGTTTCTCTCACTCACATACTACATGTACCTCTGTGATAAATCCTGCCTGCCCTCCTTTAGGAATATGCCCAGAACTGAACTATACCTGAAGCCAGTCACTCTGTTGTGTCATCACATAGTCTCCTGCCTGGTTGTCCTGTTCCTCCCTTGCCAATGATGTGTTTTCCATGCAGTAGCCCAAACAATCCTTTCCACATAAATTATATCAGAACAGTCCTCTATTCAGAAGTCCCTAGAGGGTTATCATCTCATGAGGAATAAAACCAAGGGTTTTGAAATGCCCTTATAGAATCCCCAGCTGCCACCCTGCTGACCTTATCTGCAGTCTTGTCCTATCTGCTCTTTTCTTATTAATTAATAAAAAATTATTTTTTAAAATTAATTAATTTATTTTTAACATTTTTTAAATTGTTGTTCAAGTACAGTTTTCTGCCTTCCTAAGGTTCTTCAGACACACTCCTGCCACAAGCCTCTGACCTTTGCAGTTTTACTTTGGGACATACCTTACCCAGGAAGCCTACTCACATCTGTCATCTACCTGCTCTACTGCACCTTAATGAAGATGTCCTATTCCTAAAACCACAGCCAAAGCCAAGTGCTCATTATTCCCCTATGCTGCTTAATGTTCCTTAAAGTAATTCTCATCCCAAGGTCCTTTCTATCAACCTTCATCCATTTCTTCCTTTCATAGCCCATATTGAATCAAATCAAATCTCATCTGCCTAGAACACTAAAATAACAAAATAAAGGAGCAAAAATTTAATTGCCTGCTATAATAAATGTCTCCAGAGTCTGACTGACATTCAGCCCTCAATGCACATGGAAGCCACTATGCCCTCATCATGTTTTGCAATAGCCTCCTCCATGGGTGTCCTGCCTAAGGCCTTCCCACTACTGTCTGCTTTCTACAGTCACTGAAGGGATCCTTTGAAAAGGGAAATTATTTTTTCTATTATTTTTTCACACAACCTCAAATATTTATTTACTTATTAGCATTTTTCCCATACCCTCTTCCACCTTCACTTACCCTCCTACCCCCTGCAATCACCACAGTATTGTCTATGTCCATCAGTGAAAATGGAAATTATTTCATGTCATTTCAGCACTCAACAGCTCCACAGGTTTTCTCATCTTATTAGGAGGGAAATCATCATTCTATAACATAGATTACAGGACGAACCTTGCCTTCCCCTCCTCCTGCCTCTGTTGCCACTCTGACCTCAATTCCAGTATGTTCCCGACAGCCCACTCTACTTCCACATGGGCTCCATGCTGTTTCCCACACACATTCCTGCCATTTCAACTTGCTGTCCTCTCTACTTGGAATCTCATAGCCCAACAGCCTAACATCCTTCATCTCTTGGCTCAAAGGCATTTTATGAGAGAGTGTTTGTACCCATCCTAAGAGCAGCATGTCCCCAGCACTTGTTCCATTCTGCTGACTAAATTTTTATCACAGCACTTTTCTCCACCTAGATGTATTATTTGTGTGTTTTGATTCATTTTTTTTATTCCTCTTACAATGAAAACTTTTGGTCTATTTGTATGCTTTTTCTCACTGCTCTTGCCCCCACATTACACTAGGTTATCAAAAAATAATTTATCAATAATGACTCAAGGAAGTAACAACATGTATGGAACACATTCAACAGCATTTCAGAGATTAGATGTAAATTTATCTCTTTGTGATCGTATCATGCAGATCACAGAAAGAAAAACTTTAATCATATGATGGATAATGAAGTTAACTGGGACTTAATGTCCTCAAAATATGGTGGAAAGGAATATAAAAGTTTTAGAAAAGTGAATACTACAGTAGTAACATCTATAATAAACAAGAACAAAGTTCAAACTCAGTAAATACACAAAGGAATTAATTTGAAGTAGGAAAGAGTTATGGTCTGGTATAGGCTGGAACTGAGAATGTATGTATTAAAATGAATCTCCTAGTTGAAACACATCATGAACAGAAGATTCCTTTAAAGAAGAGAGCTCTGTGGACAGAAACAACTGAGGTCACACTGGACGGCCAGAATGGCAGATGCATAGGAGTGAAGGTGAACCTGAACTCACAGGGCTTTTATGGCAGGGACGATGATTCTAGGTCCCTGCAGTTATTGGGAGCTCAGGAGAATTGCCATCAAGATGAGCAAATTCTACATAATATAGTCTGTGGTGGATCACAGTAGGGAGATCAAATTTGGGGGGCCCGTATAGGAAACAAAAACAGCTTAGCTGATTAGAATGAAGAAAACTTTGAAGGGCTAGTGGATCAAATGAGGAACTGGAGAACAGAACAGTTGAAGAACCTTACAGTGAAGAAAAAGTGAAGCTAAGAGAAAAAGAAAAGCAAAGGCACAGTGAAGACCAGTTTACTTTGAGGGCACAACATCCAAGAAAGGGTAAGAAGGGAAATCCACATTACCAGGGGCAGAACGGAGCAGTGATCAGAGGACAGTGAGCACAGTTTTCTCTTTGGAGAAAGAGAGTAGAATCTTACAGCAGGGGAGGTGGAAGACTATGAAGAAGACAAAGATTTGAGAATCCTAAAAACAAAACCATACAAACAAAATATCAAGGTAAACATAAAATAAAGAGGGCTCACACCCCATAAGAAATAAATGAATCTATTTTTCCCTAAACTCCTAAAAAGATAAAGAGGTCTCTAACTGGGAGAGACATGCATGGAGGCACTGCTTACCTATCCACAAATGCCCTTCACTTCTAAGCCTCTTCTCTGAACAACGAGATTGTGATTTCCACAGCCTACCCCATGGTGGTTCTCTTGACTCACCTGAATGGTTTCCACAGTGAATTTCACCTTCCTTTGTCCATGGTGCTTCTCCATGATCCAACTTGGAGAATACGTCTGGATTGCTGGATTCATAACCTGTGCATGGGGAATGGTAGAAGACTTAGACTAACTGAAAAAGACTTGGGTTCTGTGAAGACCACAGAATGTTACATTTCAGGACAAAACAATTTTTCACACTTACAAATTAAATGTAAAGGCTTTTCCCTCAAGAGAAGGGAGAACATATTGATCTGAGGCCAGAGAAGGAACTAAGACTCATCTACCACTTCAGAAAACCACAGACATGCCCAAGCTTTCACAAGCTGGGGATGGAAAGGCCACTGACTGGAAACCATCTGAGTGACACCAGGGAGCTGTCCTCACCCACTGACACTAGGTTGCTGTAGTTCTCCAACATCACATCCCTGTAGAGGTCCTTCTGATCAGAGTCCAGGAGCTGCCACTCCTCCAAGGTAAAGTCCACGGCCACATCATGAAATGTCAAGGATTCCTGTAACAACATGGTGCTGTTTAATGGCATGATGTAATTTAAATATGGCAGAAATGTTAGATTTTCTTCTCATTTTTACTTTATAGGCTGTATCTATATAGCGAGTGGTTTTTATTTTAAGATATAGTTGAGTAATCACATGCCTAGTAAAATACAGGGTGGTATAAAAGTATGTTTACAGTTGTTTGTATGGAAAATAATACAATAATAAACATCAAAGAATGAACTCTGTGTTTCGCATACTTACAACTGTAAACTTAATTTTGCCCCACCCTGTATTTTGGAAATGTGCTTTTAGGCATGCATGTATTCATATGATTACAAGTTTCTATCATGTGAAGAAATTAAATTTTGTTAACCTAGAAACACCATATTCATATATTTGAGTCAAAAGATATTGTATATACTATATACTTTATACTGTATCCTTTTCAGATTAATGGAGGTGGTTTTTCATAGGCCTCTAAAAATCCATTACTGAAGAAAGGAAAAGAAAAAACAAACCCAAAATCACCTGAGTCTGGAGCATTTTCTTCTGTTCTCTGCAAAGATTTGGCAAAGGTAGGCTCTGTCGTGGTGTGTTCTGGGTCTGCTCTAAATTTCTGTCCAGAAATTCTGTCTGCAGCCAGGTGTGTGTCCAGAAATGCTGATACCCAACCCTGCAACTTCCTCCTGCTTCACATAATTCTATTGCCCATGGAGAGTCAGGACCTGTAGATTGAGAAGAAAACTCAATGGGTAGTACATTTCCTCTTGACCCAGATGCTACAGTGCTCCTGGGCCCTGACTCTCACACAATGCCCACAGTATCACTAGTATCCCTTCATATGGTGTCCCCGGAGTATTTATTCTACTGGCCAATAAAGTCCTAGGTTCTTTCTGTGGTAGAGGTACTTCTTTATCCTGTGGAGTGTACGTGGTGTGATGTGACTGTCAAAGGAGACCTGGGAAATTACATACTTCCCCAAACCGTGCCTCAGAGGCAGGTGAGTCTCAGTAAAATCACTTATACAAAGCAGATCATATGAAAGGAGGGGATTGGTACACTGTTCCCTTTAAAACATGTTTCCTCAGGGGCTTCTTCAAACATTTTTCTATACCTTGTGACTGCACACATTTCAGGGAGAAACCAAGGCACTGGATAAGTCATCAGCACTGTCTCATAAGCAATAACAATAATATCTTAGGAGGTTTTAAAATACATACAAAAGTAAACAACATTGTAAGTAAACTGAAAGGTGGTAAATGAAGTGCTTTTAAGATCCCTGTATTGTCAGAAGAGTGTAAAATTATTATTTAACACAAGAATTTAAGAAAGCTCCAGGTTCTATGTAATCTCTATTGTCAGGATGAAAACCAACAGTTGTCTTAAAATACATAATTTCCATGGTTATGGGTGGGGGATATATAAATCAAAATTTTCATCCAAGCTCTTGCCAGGAAGCTCAGTTGGTTAGAGCATCATCCCAATAACCAAGGTGGCAGGTTCAATCCTCATTCAGGTCATATACAAGAATCAACCAATGAGCCCTGGCTGGTGTAGCTCTGTTGGTTGGAGCATTGTTGAGTAAAGTGAAAGGATGCCAGTTCAATCCGCCGTCAGGGCACATATCTAGGTTGCCAATTAGAGCCCTAGTCGGGATGCGTCGGTGAGGCAACCAATCAATGTATCTCTTTCACATAGATTTTTTCTCTTTCCCCCCTCTCCCTTCCTCTCTCTCTACAAGCAATGAAAAAATTGTCCTCAGGTGAAGATTATTTTTTAAAAAGTCAACCAATAAATGCATAAAATACTGGAACTACAAACGGGTATTTCTCTCTCCCCATCCCTCCTCTCTCTCTGTAAATATCAACAAATAAACTTTTAAAAAAGTATCCAAAACAAGGCATAAATAAATAAATAAATAAAATATGGAAAAGATAATAATGGGGGCAAGTTCAATGCACTTAGATGACTGTTTTTAAACATGACATACTAAAAATTATATTAAGTATAAACACAACAGCTCTTCCCTTTTGTGGCCATCACAAAGGAGCCAGCAGTCAAAATGAAGTTCAATCCCTTTGTAACTTCTGACCAGAGCAAGAACCATAAAAGGGATTTCAATCCACCTTCCCACATTCACAGGAAGATTATGTCTTCTCCTCTTTCCAAAGAGTTGAGACAGAAGTACAATGTTCAATTCATGCCCATTCAAAAAGATGAGGAAGTCAGGTTGTACGAGGACATTACAAAGGGCAGCAAATTGGCAAAGTAGTCCAGGTTTACAGGAAGAAATATATCATCTATATTAAACAAGTGCAGTGGCAGAAAGTTAATGGTACAACTGTTCATGTGGGCATTCACCACAGCAAGGTGGTTATCACTAGACTAAAACTAGACAAAGACTACAAAAAAATCCTTAAATGTAAAGCCAAATCTCACCAAGTAGAAAAGGAAAAGAGCAAATACAAGGAAGAAACAATTGAGAAAATGCAGGTATAATGAAATCCTATATACAGCTTTCATTAAAAACTTGAAGAGAAAAAAACCACACACACACAACAAGGATTCCAAATAATTACATTAAATACTAGCACATCAATACTGTCACACTCAACTTATATTTAAAATTGAATAACATGCTATTATAGATGACATGTCTGAAACATAACAATACAGAAAGCTTGAAATACAAGTTTAGAAAGAAATATATCAAGAAAAGAGTCACCACAGACTTCCAGCCAAGATGGAGGCATAGGTAGATACACTACATCTCCTTGCACAACCATTAAGAAGGATAACAACCAATCTAAAACCAAAAAAACAACCACTTGCCAGAAAATCAAACTGCATGGAAGTCTGACAACTAAGGAGTTAAAGAAGAAATATTCCTTGAGACACGTAGGAGGGACGGAGACAGGGAACTGGAAAGGACAGGATATAGTGTGGCCACCATGTGGCGGCAGCAGCAAGGCAGTGACAGCGAGGCAGCAGCTGCTGGCAGAACAGGTGGTTTCACATTCACATGTGATAGACAAAAACCCAGCAGTGATACCTGGAGAGCAAGCCATACCAGGTCTAAGACAGACCATGCAACCCAGAGTTCCAGCACTGGGAAAATAAAGCCTTATAAACTCTAGCTGTAAAAATCTGTGGGGGGTGCGATAGCTGAAGAAACTGCCAGTCTCTCAGGAGAGTCCATTTCAGGGACCCATATGGTCCTAGAATGTACACAAGCCCACCCACGCAGGGAATCAAAATCAAGGCAGCAGCTGGAAGAGTGCCAGTCACTTGGGGGAATTACAGGAAGTGACTGAAAGCAGGGCAACAACCAAGCAAGCAGCATTGTTCCTTCTTCAAACCCCCCCACCCCCACATATAGCACAGCAATATAACAAAAAGGGTTGCCCCACCCTAGCAAACACCTAAGGCTCTGCCCCTTACTACATACATAACAGGTATGGTGATAAACTGAGAGAATAAAACAGGATTCAAATGAAAGAACAGATCAAAACTCCAAAAAAAGAACTAAGCCATGAGGAGATAGCCAACCTATCAGATGCAGAGTTCAAAACACTTGTAATCAAAATGTTCAGATAAATGACTGAGTATGACCACATAATAAAGGAAGATATGAATGCTATACAAAATAAAATTTTAAAAATATACAAGAAACTGCCCTGGCTGGTTTGGCTCAGTGGGTTGCTCACTAGCCTGCGAACTAAAAGGTCGCTGGTTTGATCCCCAGTCAGGGAACAAGCCTGGGTTGCAAGCCAGGCCCCCAGTTAGAGGTATGTGAGAAGCAACTGGTTGATGTTCTCTTACACGTGGTATTTCTCTCCCTTTCTCCCTCCCTTCCCTCTCTCGAAAGACAAATATACTAATTAATTTTAAAAAGAAAAGAAAAAATATACAGGGAACCAACAGTGAAGGGAAGGAATCCAGGACTTAAATCAAGGATTTGGAACAAAAGGAAGAAATAAACACTCACCTAGAATAGAAAGAAGAAACAAGAATTCAAAAAAAATGAGCAGAGGCTTAGAAACCCCTGGGACAACTTTAAACATACCAACATCTGAATCATGGGGGTACCAGAAGAAGAAGAAGAGCAAGAAATTGAAAACTTATTTGGAAAAAATAATGGAAAAAAAGTCCCCAATTTGATGAAGGAAATAGACATACAAGCCCAGGAAGCTCAGAGAGTTCCAAACAAATTAGACCCAAAGATGGCCACAACAAGACAAATCATAATTAAAATGCCAAAGGTTAAAGATAAAGAGAGAATCTTAAAAGCAGCAAGACAAAAGAAGAGAGTTACCTACAAAGGAGTTCCTATAAGACTATCAGCTAATTTCTCAAAAGAAACCCTGCGGGCAAGAAGGGGCTAGAAAGAAGTATTCAAAGTCATGAAAGGCAAGGACCTACATCAAGATTACTCTATCCAGCAAAGCCATCATTTAGAATGGAAGGGCAGATAAAGTGCTTCCCAGACAAGATAAAGCTAAAGGAGTTCATTGTCACCGAGCCCTTATTATATGAAATGTTAAAGGTACTTATTAAGAAAAAGGAGCTGGTCCTTTGGAGCCTGGCACTCAAAAGTGACAAATTGATCAGATAGACAAGGCTGGGCTTGTCCCAGGCTGCTGATTATCGAGGCAATCCTGATCTGAGCCCGTTAAAAAAAAAAGAAGAAAAGAAAACAAAGATCAAAACTATGAATAGTAAAATAACAACAAATTCACAATTCTCAACAACTGAACCTCAAAAAAAACCACACAAAAACAAAGCAAAAGCCCTGGCTGGTGTGGCTCAGTGGATTGAGTGCTGGCCTGAGAACCAAAGGGTCACTGGTTCAATTCCCAGTCTACAGCACATGCCTGGGTTACAGGCCAGGTCCCCAGTAGGGGGTGTACGAGAGGCAACCATATGTTGATGTCTCTCTCTCTTCTTACCCTCCCCTCTCTAAAAAGAAATAAAATATATATTTATTTTAAAAAGCCAAAAACTAGAACAGAAACAGATTCATAGGAATGGAGATCACATGGAGGGTTATCAGTGGGGATGGGGAGGGAGGAGAATGGGGGAAAAGGTACAGGGAATAAGAAGCATAATTAGTAGGTACAGAATAGACAGGAATAATATAGGAAATGGAGAAGCCAAAGAACTTATATGTACCACCCATGGACATGAACTAAGTGGGAGGATTACTGCAAAGAATGGGGGTACTGGGCAGAGGGGTGCAAAGGGGAAAAATGGGTTAACTGTAATAGCGTAATCAATAAAATATACTTAAAAAAAAGAGTCAGCACAAATAATCTGGCATAAGTATATTCTCAGACCAAATGCACCAGAAAACCAAAACTTACTACTGAGAAAGAGAAACAATGCTCACTGGTAAAAGGTTCAATTTACCCCTTATAAAAGTGTTTCATTTATATGCACCTAACAATATAGCCTTGATATGTCTACAATATAGGTGGACTGAAAACAAGAAGAGATAAACAAATCCAAACTAATAAAAGATTTCAATGTACCTTCCCCAGTGACTAACAAACAGGATGTCAACAAACAAAATTTATGAATTATCATTTGGGAGAACATCAAAAATATTTCATAAGTAGCAAGAAGTGTTTAGAGAAATTTTAACACTTAAATAAATGGAAAGGTTGACTGTGAAGGTGACTGAGAAAATCAAGCACTTTAGAGATACCATGTCTCCCAAATACACACAAGTATATAGACCCAATGAAACTTCAGTCAAAATCCTAAACTGATCACTTTGTTAAGATTGATACACCTCTAAAAAACAAAGAAAAAAATGTTGAGGGCCCTGGCTGGTGTCGCTTAGTTGATTGAGTGCCAGGCTGGGAACAGAAATGTTGCAGGTTTGATTCTCAGTCATGGCACATGCCTGGGTTGTGAGCCAGGTCCCCAGTTGGGAGCATGCAAGGGGCAATTGTGTATCTCTTGTACAACAATGTTTCTCTCTCTCTCTTTCTCCCTCCCTTCTACTCTCTCTAGAAACAAATAAATAAAGGCTTTAAAAAAAAGTTGAAACACTTGGTGTATCAGTTATGAGGGCTTAAAGTTACTTTAGCTGTGACAGTACTACATGTATTAGCATAATAGACAAATCAGCCAAAGGAACAAAATAAAATGCCTATGAAGAGATTCAGGCATAGATAAAGATGTGATGACACAGGAAGCTCTGCAGAGAAGAGGTTAAGTATGTCCTTTCAAAAGGTGGTTAATGGACAATCAGATATCCATGCTAGAAGTAGAGGATGAGAAGGAGACTGAACCCCACCTCAGAACACACACACACAAATCATTTTAGAGAACACTTAATCTCAATGGGTGACGCACATAAATAAAACTAAGATACATGGAAATTTCTCAGTGTCAACTTATGGAAACATCTTTGAAACAAGCCCCATTTTATTATTTATTTTATATTTTTTAAATTATAAGAGAAAGTTTATTTAGAAAGTTACAGAGGTAGTAGAAGTGAGTCAGCAGGGTTGCTTAGGCTCAGGAAACAAGTTACAGAAGTAAAAGGAGGGCCCTTAGAGCTTCGGGGAAAGGCAAGGGTAGCACCCCTGGGGAGAAGGAGTGGGGCAAGAGGAAGCCACAGGCTTGCTTCCCAGAGAAAGAACACCTAACCTGTTTAAACAATAATGAAACAAAAACACCTTTTTGTGACTCATATGTGAGAGACCTTCTCTAGAACTCCTTAAAAAGTAAAAATAAAAAAAAAAACATGTATTAAGCAAAAGTCAGACATTAAAAAAATGCATGTGTATGATTGATTGATATAATTAAAAATAGGCACAAGTAAATAAACTATGAAAATTATGCAGGATTAATTATATGATAAAAGTATAAAGAAAAGTATTAAAGTGGTTGGCATGGAGAGAAAATGGTAATTACCTTGGGTGTGAGGAAGTAATTGGAATGGGGCTCACAGAACACCATTTGAAGTGCTGGCAGTGTTCTCATTTCTTGACCTGGGCAATGACTCTCTCTCTATATATAAAATGTATACATGAATATATAATTTATAAGTATATAATTTGTAAGTATATAAACATAAACATATATTTATATAATTTATAAACATATAATGTATATTTTATACACGACATATGCATGCCTTATATATTTATATATTATATATACAACATGTGTGAACAGTACATATATACATATACATGTAAATATTGCTTTTATACTGATTAAATTACAGATCTTCTAAATTAACAAATCAACTGAAGAGCTCAACAATCCCAAAAGCTTGTCTCTTAAAAACACCAATAAATATATGCATTTATAGAGACAGATTTGAAAGAAAACTGGTCTAAAGTGCACAAGGAATTAATGGAAGACAGAAATCATATTAAATAGATATTTTTAAAAAGATTTTATTTAGTTAGTTTTAGAGAAAGGGGAAAGAGAGGGAGAGAAATATGGATCAGTTGCCTCTTATTCACCCCCAACTGGGGACCTGGTCCACAACCTAGACATGTGCCTGGTTGGGAATTAAACCGGCAACTTTTCAGTTTGCAGGCTGGCACTCAGTCCACTACGCCTCACCAGCCAGGGCTATATACACATTTTTTTAGCCTTAAAGCATATTATAAACATTTTTTATGTCATTAAGTTTGAAATTCTGGATTAATCATAATTTTATAATCCTTCCCTCCTAGATACTGTTAACTCCGGACACTAGCAAGTGAATTTTCTGGGTAGGCAACAGGGCACAGATGACCACTAACACCGCACTTAGCTATTTTGAATTGGAGAGTTGAGCCAATGCTTTGAGATATGAATAAACTGTAAACATTAGAAATAAGACATAAAATTAAGGTTATGTTCCACCAATGTTTCATCAACATTCAAAAAGAGATTCAGGAATTACTTATTTAAAAGAGAAAATGGCCCAGGCCAGTGTGACTCTGTTGGTTGGAGTGTCTTCCCCAAACCCAAGGGTTGTGGGTTCAATTCCAATGGGATCACTAGAGGGTGTGTGGGTGGGAGGTGGCCAATCCTGCCTCTCTCTGGTGTCAATGTATCTCTTTTCCCTCCTATCTAAAGCAATGAAAAAAAAATGTCCTGAGGTAAGGATAAAAATAAAAAAAGAAAATAAATAAAAGAAAAGAAAATGTTCCCCAGAATCCACTAAGCAGATTTCCACCTATGTAGCTCCCTAGGCACTGAATGTACCAAGTAACTAAGTTCATTTCATGGTAATGCAATCACTAGCAATGAGAACTGCAACCACCACTATTGACTAAGACAGACAAGGACTTACTAACACACTGACACATGAGTCACCTTGTCAGAAGGATGGATATTAAATAAAATGGAGATTCTGTTAGCAAAGAAGAAAGTGTAAATGTATGTCAGGCAAGTAAGCAACATTGTCTGCTACACATTCAGAGATGAGAGCAGGTGTTGGTAAATATTGTCTGCAAAAGGATGTGTCTGTGTGTGTGTGTGTGTGTGTGTGTGTGCGTGCGCACACACACACACAGTATTTTCTGCTTTGAGGGCCACAGGTCTTGGTCACAAGAACTCAGTTCTGCCTCTGCAGAATGAAAGCAGCCACAGACGTTGAGTGACAGATAAGCATGGCTGGATTGGTCTCACCACTGTAGATAGTCAATCCATGGATAAAAGGCTGAAAAACAGAGGACTTCTTCCCTATGATCTACTGCTTTCTCTGAGTTTTTATATCTAAGCTGTATACCCTCAAAATAACAGCACACACATCTAAACCACAAAATATGTACAAGAATTTTCACAGCATTATTTATCATAAGGCAAACTGCAAACAATACAAGTTTAATTAACAGTAGGAAAACCCACCCTGGCTGGTGTCACTCAGTGGACTGAGCGCTGGCCTGAGAACCAAAGGGTGGCTGGTTGGATTCCTAGTCAGGCACATGCCTGGATGGTGGGTCAGGTACCCTGCAGGGGCGCTCTAGAGACAACCACACATTGATGTTTCCCTCTCTCCCTTCCCCTTCCTCTAAAAATAAATAAATAAAATCTTTTTTTAAAAAAATAAAACTATATTTTTTAAAAAACAGTAGGAAAATCTGCCATATACTAAAGCTATGGAATGCTATAAATTCCATTCCGTCTGAACAACTGAAGTTTGGAACCTCAACAAAAACACCAGCCCAGGGTCCTGGGTGTCCAAAGTCAGCTTCAGGATCAAGAGACTCTCTGGACAATGATCACACACACCCTTATAATTCCGAAACGTACACCAGACACCCTCAAGTGATCACCATCCACGCTGGCCACATCAACTGTTAAATGCCGAACCTGTCAGAGCGGTCATCCTAAATGCCACCTCCATCCATTAGAGTGACCTGCAAAGACCATCACAGTCAGGGCATGGTCGTCGATCTCTGTAGACCCTTAATCGCATGATGACTCCAAAGGATCCCCAGCCACAGACTGGCGTGTCACACCTGGTTGCTCCCAAATACCTAGGCACTCCTCTTAAAACCCCCATTGGGCCCAAATACACCACTTCCCCTCTGCGACGTCAGGTACTCTGTTACAGACAAATCTCCCAGGAGGCTTTTTTTTTTTTTTTAAGGTTTTTCTTTTTTAGAGAGAGAGGTTAGGAAGGGCGAAAGGGAGAAAAACAGCGATTGGTTCCCCTCTCACACCCCCAACCAGGACCTGAATCGCAACTGGGCGTGCGCCGAGAGGGAAAATCAACCCGGTGACCTTTCAGCTTGCATTCCGAGGCCACCCCAGTCAGGGAAAGACAAAGTTTTTTAAAAAATACTTCAAAGGACAAGAGCATACAGACCCGATTTTCTCCAGCCTGCTTGGAGAGCCTAAACATTTACACTTCCGCAAACTGGTTCAGCTTAAGGAAAAGTCGCCCAGACATTTCGTCACCCTATGGTGGCCGAAGATGGTCTTAAGTATTTGAATAAAGGCAGGCGATTTGCAACCGATGCTCCTGAGGCAACGTGTCAGCGTGCTGTAGGCATTGTTGCCATGGGGACCGCCATGCTGGGAGACCTGACAGTGATACAGAAGGCAAATGTGACTTTGGCACCAGCAGCCAGGATTGGCTGGAAAATGGGAAGCTCCTGAAATTATCTTCTTTCCTGGCACTTGTACTCCTGTGGAAAATGAATGTATTTTCAGATTCGAGCTTCTGCAGGCAATACGGAACGAGCTAAATATTGTTAGGCTGGCTGGACAAAGAAGTCATATGTTTGCAGCCTTTACTTTACATTTTGTATAAAGATTTTTTTTTTTTAAGTTTTGAAACGGCCGGGAGCTCAGGTGTCGGTGTAGTGGCAGAGAAAGAAATCCTGCAAAGAGAAAAGGTCATGCACTTGGTAAACGGACACCGACGGGAAGTCTCCGGCGTTAAATTTCTTGCAGGAACTGGTTTTTAACAACAGAAAGATTTCTAGAAACTGGTGCAGTGTGAGGCTGGCCATCATCAACCAGGGTAAAAGAACGGCTAGGAGGAACTGAAGTTGCCATTGAGATGGGGGCTTTGGGAAAAAGCCACCAAAAGGGAGATCGGTAAAGGTCCAGAGCTGAACCCTGGCTGGTGTTGCTCAGTGGATTGAGTAAAGGGCCTATGAACCAAAGGATCCCGGTTTAACTCCAGGTTAAGGCACACGCCTAGGTTGCATGCCACCTCCCCAGTAGGGGGCGCATGAGAGGCAACCACACATTGATGTTTCTCTCCCTCTCTCCTTTCCTTCCCTCTCACTAAAAAATAAAGTCTTAAAAAAAAAATCTGGAACGCACAACTAGAATTAAGAATCCAACAATATTGAGGTCAGCTGCTTTTTGACCAAGTTCCCAAGATATGCCAACATGGTAAGTCTTTTTAACAGAACATGCTGGGATAATTGCATATCTAGCTGCAGAAAAATTAATTGAGCCCTTTAACTCCAACGATAAACAAAATTAATTGAAAGTAAATCACAGACCTAAGGATGAGAGGTGAAAGTATAAAACTTAGAGAAGCAAACGGGAGGTAATTTTACTGAACTGAGTTAGCTAGAATTCTAAATAAGACAGATAAAGGATTAGTCATTGAGAAAAAATAATTAATTGAACTTAATTAAAATTTAAAACGTTTGTACTTCTAAGAACAACATTTAAGAGGGTGAAGAGTTGAGCCATCAACTGGAAGAAAATATTTCTACGTTATACATCTGATAAAGGACTTGTTTTTAAAATGTATAAAGAACTTGCAAACCCGCCCTGGCTCATGTGGTTCAGTGGATCCAGTGGCCACCTGTGAACTAAAAGGTCGCTGGTTTCGATTCCTGCTCAGGCACATGCCTAGGTTGTAGGCCAGGTCCCAGTTGTGGATGTACAAGAGGCAACAGATCACCTATCTCTCACACATTTCCCTCCCTTCCCTTGCCTCTGAAAATTAAAAAAACAAACTTGCAAACTCAACAATAATAAAACCATCTAATTAGAATATGTACAAAGTCATGAAATTTTCTAAAACTGGATTGTGATGATGATGGCACAACTCTAAACTTACTGTCAACAAGTTGTACAATTACTATGTAAATATTACACATAACTTATGGCAGTAAAACTGTTGAGATGAATTGCCACTATGTAGTACAAAATTTGTAGGGTATGAATTAAAAGAAAAACACCCAGTATGATTGCAAAATTATAAACAACCTAGGATTAAAAGTAAATGGAGCTGCCCATTCAGGGCACATGCATGGGTTGCAGACCAGTTCCCCTGTTGCAGGTGTGTGAGAGGCAGCCCATAGATGTTTCTCTCCCTTTCTCCCTCCCTTCCTTTCTAGTTAAAAGTAAATATTAAAATCATTTTTTAAAAGTAAGACTTTAGATAATGAGAAGATCATAGTATAAACTGAACATAATTGAATTGTTTTTCAAGTATACCCCACATTAATGCAGACTTTCTATGTGATTCTAGTTACCATCCTACTAGTTCACCCATGATATTATTATAGCCACTTAATATTAATTACACATAGATATACATAAACATTTTATGTTTGTTATATTTATGTTTAAATTAAAATTAGATTATAACCTTTTGCCAGTTTTACTGAGGTATAATTGATATAGATTATACCTACTTTTTTTTAAAGATTTTATTTATTTATTTTTAGGGAGGGAAGGGAGGGAGATAGAGAGAGAGGGAGGGAGAGAAACATCAATGTGCGGTTGCTGGGGGTTATGGCCTGCAACCCAGGAATGTACCCTGGCTGGGAATCAAACCTGGGACACTTTGGTTCCCAGCCCGAGCTCAATCCACTGAGCTACGCCAGCCAGGGATTATACCTACTTTTAATAAGCTTTTTATTTTGGAAAAATTTTATGTTTACACAAAAGTCACAAGGTACTACTATAAACAGTTCACACATACCTTCATTCAACTCCCCATTCTGTGAACATTTTATATAACCATGGTGCATTTGTCAATTTGAAAAATTAAGACTATATAATACTCAACAAAATTACAGATTCTCCTTGGATTTCACAAGTTTTTCCACTATCATCCTTTTTTTTTTTGTCCCAGGATTCAACCCAAAATACAATATTGCGTTTAGACATCATGTTTCCTTGATTTTCTCTGTTCTGTGACCACTTCTCAGTCTTTCTCATTTATATCCTCAATTATTTTGAGGAGTACTAATCAGGTATTTTGTATATTAATCCATCATTTGGTTTGGTCTAGGTTTTTCTCATTAAACAGGGATTGTGAATTTTAGAAAAAACACCATGGAATTTAAGTCTCTCATCACACCATATCTAGAGATAGAAAATAGCAAAATGATTTAATGTTGATTTCCTGGTAACAGTAATATGTGCCAGATTTCTACACTGAAAATAGCAAAAATAATTCTGACCAAAAAGAACCATCAGACAGGGCTCATAACATATTTTAAGACTTATAGGTAGTAATAGTGTTTCTGAAAAGATAAACATAAAAATAAATGGAAGGGAATAGAGGTCCCACAAAAAAAAACCATAGAAATCAAATACACTCAACTGTTTGACAAAGGTACAAAGGCCATTCAATGGAGAAAGGATACACTTCCCAACAAATGATACAGGAACATTTAGAGGTCCATAGGAATGCATAAATAAATGGAATCTCTAAAAATTTATCAAACAAGTTTTTAATCAGATAGAAGACTGATATCCAGAACATAGAAAGAATTCATTGATCCTTAGAATTGTGCTTTTAGTCTCTATGTCATTTAATTCTGCTCTGATCTTGGTTATTTCCTTCCTTCTGCTTGCTCTGGGCTGTCTTTGTTGTTGTTCCTCGAGTTCTTGTAGACGTAGGGTTAGGTTGTTTGGAATGTTTCTAACTTTTTTAGGTGGGCCTGTATCGCTATGAACATCCCTCTCAGGACTGCCTTGGCTGTGTCCCATAAGTTTTGGGTTGTTGTGAATTTGTTTTCATTTGTTTCCAGAAACCTTTTGATTTCTTCCCTAATTTCATTCTTGACCCATTCATTGTTTAATAGCATGCTATTTAATCTCTATGATTTTGAGTGTTTTGGGGTTTTTTCCTTGGGGTTGGTTTCTAGCTTCAGTCCCTTGTGATCTGAGAAAATGCTTGTGAAATAAGCCAGGCAGTGAAAGATAAATACCACATGATTTCACCTTTAACAGGAACCTAAACAACAAAACAAAGAAACAAGCAAAATATAACCAAAGACACTGAAATACAGGACAGGCTGACAGTGACCAGAGGGGAGAGAAGAGGGAATTTCAGGGGAGAGTGGGAAGGGTTTACAGGAACAAATTTAAAGGACACATGGACAAAAACTAGGGGGAGGGTGGTAATGGGAGGGAAATGGGGAGGGTTGGGTGGGTGGTCTGGACTGGGAGTAAAAGGGAGAAAACTGTACTTGAACAATGATTAAAAGAAAAAAAAAGAATTCATAAAAGTCAGCAACTTTAAAATCAGGCAAAGACCCTGAAAATACTCTATACAAATACAAGCAAATGGCAAATAAGTATATAAAACAATGGTCATCATCATTTCTTCTTAGGGAAGTAAAATTTTGTCCTATGATGTGCTTAGTACAATTACCCTGCCATTAGAATTGCTGAAATCAAAAGACAGAAAAGATGAAATACTGGTGATGAGGTGGAGTAACAGGAGCTCTACTTGCAAGAGACATTACAAAAAACTACGGCCACACTGGAAGATACTTGAATGAATGTTTATACACATGATTCCAATTTTTACAAAGGTAGTATTTTTTAAAAAAATTAATGAAATGGTGTCACTAATGAGTAAAATTTAGGAAAATAGTCATTACTTGTGTCCAATACACCTGAAAGAAAATACTCAAGAATAAATTATGTTGTAAGATGAACAAAAGTTTTATTATTACTTGCAGATACACCATTTATCACAGTGAACTACTCTTATTTGTGAGGACATTGAGGAGAATGGATGTAGGAAATATTTTATGAGTTTATTGCAGCCAAACTGACCACACATGCTGAGGAGCAAGATCTTAATTTTTCTAGGAGACAATTTTTAATAGAAACCTTGAGAAGGGACTGGGATTAGAAAGACTTAAAGGAAATGTTTCCAGCATCCAAAACCTGAGCTTTAAAACATCCACTGGCCTGGGCCTATGGGTTTCCAAACTTCCAGACTACTATGTTCTTGAATCCAAACAGACCCTGCACTTCCCAAATAGCAACCTCAAATTAAATACGAAATTTACCACAGCAACTCTTTTCCACTGACACTGTTCCTTGATTTTTATTAGATTTAGATTAAATAGCTAACCTAGATGACAAGCTAGGTTCACTGCTACACACCTCCCGCAGTTTTCTATCATG